TTGCAGTGCTGGTTCTGTAGCGATGAAGGATGCTTTGTATGCACGTGCTGAACACGTCAATGACAAAGCTCGTTCATCCTAGGCTCGATTGTTGAACCGGCCATGACGCTTATCGTGCAGTCCACGCAACTCGATCTTGACCAAAAGCGACGACGTCGCATCAAGGATGAGCTCAACTCTTCGGCAGCCGGCAATGCATCTTGTTCTGGTTGCTGTCGGAAACACACCACTGGATGCAGGACATCACCGATTACGTGGGTTTCACACTCGTCTTCTTGAATTACGTGGCAACTGGGCCGAATCAGTGCAGTGTGGTTGCCAGTCGGGACTCCGCAGCTGTGCGCAGACAGTATCAGGTCCTGTTGGTGGAGCTGGAGGTCGAGGGCCGGCAAACGGCGATCTTATTGGGTCTCGACGACGGAGACCTGGCCCTGCAACCTGACACGCTCCGCGTCGTGGACAGCCCGAAAGAGGGGGGGCACGCAGGGACTGGCAAGGGAGTATGGGGGCTGATAGGTATCCGTTTCTAGCATCTGCGAATACGGATGCGAAATGGCATGTCGGATCTTTCTTGATCTCAGCATTTTCGAGCACATTCTGCTCGAGCTAGTGGTGGCCAATGATGCTTGGTGAGATTGAACTACTCGTCGGACACTAGTTCGTATGATTGAATTCTCCTTGAGCTTTTGGTCGTTCCGGCAGGACTGCGGCTTCGTGCTTCTTTTCCTTATCGAGTCGCTCTTCCGGCTAGGATTGGAAGGCAGGGATTTCTTCAAGGACCTCGATGGGAGTGAATTATGTGTGGCTTGCAGACACAAGCAGGTACACACACTTGCATACATACGTGCGTGCACATGTACGTAGGAACTAGGGAAGTTTGCCTGCCCACAAATTCATGCGTGGACAACTCGAGAGAGAGTTGGCTAGTCTTCACCTCGCAGCTTGGGCAGGGCGAGAGGGAAAAAACTCTCACTCGCTCACTTGCTCTCGCTCTCTTCTCTCTTTTCTCTTTGGCCTCTTTGCTCTGTGTTCTCTTTGCTCTCTCGCTCTCTCTTTCTTTTTCTCTCTGTCTCTGTCTCTATCCTTTTTTTTTTTTTCTCTCTCTCTCTCTCTCTCTCTTTTCTTTTTTGTTTACGCACATCGACATCTGTTTATGTGTGGAATCACCTGTCTATCTATCCATCTGTTTGTCCATCTGTCCATCTATCTATTTATCCGTCTATCTATCCACATATCTATGTACATATATGTAACAACTGACAGTCAGATGTGAGTTTATACTGACATGTGTTTGTAAACAATCACCCATAGCCATACATGGATATGTAATTCTATATGGAGTGGCGTTCACGATGTTTAGTTGTATGTTATGCACTTGAGTATCTTGTATGAAATGTAGATTTGCAGCTGGATGAAAGCTGTTTCTATAGCTACAGCAGATGCGCCTTTGCTAGACAATCCAACGTTGAATTCGTATTTTTAAAGCGCCAATGTTAACACAGTCTTCAGCTTGTGTCTAGTGTGTAATTGGTTTTTGGGACTTGTTTAGATATTTGCCTGGTACCTGATTGCTATTCATTGATACAAGTTTAAATTTGTCGTATTTTCCTCAAAGCACAAAGGAAAGCATTTTGGAACTAGTACTTGCTGGGTACCCATTGAACTTTTGATGGTGACGTCAAGACACCCGAAGTCTCACTATCAGATCTTCAGGACCTTGACTGATCGTCACATGTTGCCCAAAAGTATTCAGCTACAATTGAGTGCTAGTGCAGCTGATATGGGCTAAATATACAGAAAGCTGGTCTGTAGTCTGTGTTGGTTAATACCCAACTTACGATAATTAATCTTTTTGTATTATCCATTTCAATCTTAGCTTAAGTAGGCCTTCCATGATATTTAGCACATTGTCTAGTTGACCTCTTATGAACATTTCACTACTATTACAACACCGTTTAAAGACGCCATGTCAATCAGACGGTAGTAAACGTCTACTACTGTCAGTGAAGACTTAACTTCTACATCTTGGGGGCTTATCCACGCGACGATTCCACTTATCACCAATTTTTGAGAATGTTCGACTGTTGCACAACTGTACACTAGACGTGTCCAGATATAGGGAGTTTGTGGAATAGATAGATAGACAGATAGATAGCCATAGTGAGGTGCACCTGCGTACCTCTATGTAGAAGCCATGGGAGACACACACTCATGCGATGAGATGAGATCTTACCAGGACTGGGCGAATGTCTTCGACCTTTTCTTGGTGGTCTTGGGCCTGGTCGACTTTGCAGACACTCAACTGAACCCCTCACCCAAAGAACGGTGGTTCCCTGTTTTCTCCATTCAAGTTCCATACATGCATTGACCTGCAACAATTTTGCGATGAGAGCTTCTCGATTGACTCAGGTGAGCCCGCCCTTCAGTGGAAATGGCGCCTCTGACATCGTCTTGCTCAAGGTGATGCGCGGCCTTAAATCTCTTCGCGCACTTCGGATTGTGCGCAGCTCTGCTAGTTTCTAGACTTGGCGCCTTCATGTGCTCTTTTCTGCATTTGCTCCTGCGTGTCGCCCCGATTTTTTCTCACATCTCTCCTTCAATGTTGCAGGACAACCGGAAGTCAACGTAATTTCTGAACATCTAATGCGACCTCGACGTGCATCCGCGGAAACCTGTTGAAACGACTCTGGCAGACTCGTACAGACTCGCAATGGCCTACGACCAAGTTTGAGCACTGTAAGTGTACGTGCTTGTGGGGCCCTCGATCTTCAAGATATTTCTGGTTGTCGGAGTGAAGGGCCAGAGAGCCACAGCTGCGGTCCTAAATGAATCAAGCCATGTTGCTCTCGTCGGCGACTGACCGCTTTGGAGCACGTGTGGGTTTGTATTTTGGACCGATGACGTGCTGCAGGGAGCAGCAACATGTATTCAATCTATCAGCGAGCTTCGGCACGTGTGCGCAGATCCACAGTTTCCGCTGTCCGATTGAGGAAGCTTCCGATTCCTCAGTGGTCTACGAGTTTTGGTGAAGGCATGTCAATGCTTTCTGCCTTCGCTTTTTTGGGCCATGGTCCTGCTCAGCATCTTGGGCTTCGCCAGGTGTCGTCCTCCGCGTCGTCGATTCGTCGATCGTTGTGGTCGGGCCTGCCTCCCTGCCTCCGCTCAGGCATCTTTATCTTCATGGGCGCCATGATAATGGCTAATGCACTCCGCGCCTTCATCATCGATCCAGCTCAAAGCTACGACGCTGCTGGCTTGCTATTGGCAGCTGTGTTTGGGAAGAGGTACTTTGCGCCACCTTGAAAATTATGAACTCAGGACAGGGTGCAGATGTGGACCTTGTATGGCACGGCTTACCGCTCTGCATACACGATTTACGAAGTGACTTTTGCAGGCCCAGTTGAAAGTGCTTGTGCTTCCCCAGTGTTTGCCACCCCATGCCACCCCTGATTCAGGGAATTGGCCGACGAACGCTCGACCAGTCCTCAACAAGGTCAGTCAATTTTACTCGATATTTTTCGTGGTGTACGTCACGATCATCGTCTTTGCGTTGATCCGGGTCATCAGTGCCATCTTCTTGAAGGAGCAATTGAGTTTTAGGCCGACCACAAGTGGCACAGAGGGGGCTGTCGTGGTATCTACTGCACTGCACCCTTCCCATGCCTAGCCTCCCTGTGCGGACAACGATGTATGATACTATCTGCGATAGGCATGCGATCATGAATGAAAACAGAGGACACTTTGGATGCAGCTCAGAATGATGCGGAGCACCTCGTGGTTGAGAAAATGCACAAAAAGGCGGACTACGTGCGCAAATTGGAACAATTGTTTCAAGCCATCGATGCTTCTGGAAGTGGGCTGATTACGGAAGAGCGGCTGACCCAAATTTTGGCAAATCCCAAGGTCGAAACCTCAGTCTTCAAGCGGGGCGCTTTCCAGCTTGCTGAAAAGCACAACAGACCACTTTGTTTATCAAGGATGCATGTGGACTCGAAGTCTGCTTCATAGTTAGCAGCTGGCACATTGTCGACTGTAAAGTCTTCGTGGAAACAGTGCTGTGTGTGTGTGTGTGGGCTGTGACTGTGTAAGTCCCCTAGCCAAAGCGCTTGCAGCACCCGCAACTTTCGTGAAGTGTTCAGTTGTTGCCCCGGCACTTTTGCAAGACGTGCAGCGCAGCGAAATGAGTCGGAAGTCGGTGCTGACCCAGCATAAATCAGAATCATAACTAATATACTTTGTTCAGCTGGGCGGGCGGCAAATGACGCCAATATAACTTTAAAAAGTCAAGGTCCAGTCTTGCATGCACTGAACCAGAAGTCGGCTTAGGTGGCAGCCCTCTTTCAAACCCTGGATCTGGATGTGCATGAAAGTGAAGCCTTGTTTCACCTTTTAGATGATGGTGATGGAGAAGTGACATTGGCGGAGTTTATCGATGGAGTCATGCGCTGCAAGGGCCCAGCGCGCGCTATCGATCAAGTGGCCATGCATGCAGAAATGAAGCAGTTAAGCCGAAGATTCGGCAAGCTGCTCAAGCAACTGAAGCGGCAGGCTTTGCCGGGGATGCCGTCTCACCAGTCCACTGCTTCAACACTCCCGACTCCGACTGCAATTCCAAAGAAACAGACCACCCTTTCGGCCTTCCTCTTCGACTCTGCTGATGCTGCGAGCCTGAGCGTAAACCTAAAGAACCACAAGTCCCCTGGCCACGCGCTTGTCTGAAGTTTTGCAGGGCTGCAAGCAAGCTGGCGCCGTAGGCGCCGGCTGTGAGCATGCCCATCAAATACCAGACATACCGACTTATTGTTGTCTGGATGTCTCCGGTTAGAAATGCGAACTTCGGCAGCTTCGTTTGTACGCTGCCCCTCTTTTTGATGCGCGCAGATCTCTCCAGGAAAAGCCGTGAATTCTGTTTTCGGGTGAGACTCGAGCGTGCAAGCGGAAACAGCTCTTTTCACGAGTCCGCCGGAGATGAGACTGAGACACCGGACGGCAGACTCCAGGTGTGGAGGGACTCCTTGCGCTGGACTGCTCGTCGAAACGAAGAGGCCTCAGGGTGCGAGGGCTACGCACGATGTCTTTTAAGCTGTGTCCTCGCAGTTGCGCGAGGCGTTGCTGTTCGCCTGTCCATGCCACTCTTAGCTGCTTTTTGGCTACCCTTGTTGTTTATTGCCAGCCTATGCCAGCCTGCTGTTTCAGGACTGGTCCACTACTTGTGTAGACTTGTGTGTGCATGCCTTGTTGGAGTATGCTGAGCTCACGCTTCAAACATGCAGATATTGCAGCATGCCATCTCGAGAAGAGCCCCACTTGGCTTCTTTGTTGCATCCTTTGGACTTTCCAAAGAATCTGATCTTATGTGAATGAAGTCCTTATGATGCTGTGTACCACTCAGGCAGTAGACATGTTCAAAACAGCTGAAATAGAACGTGCCAGAACAGGGTGGGGTTCACTTCACACACAGGGTTTTTCATGGTGCTCTGTTCTCCTCAGGCAAGGCCACTCGGACTGTGCACCAATTGCTCAGCTTCTTGCTATGAGTTCTATGGCGGTCGCAAGATGTCTGGCATCGCTGATAAGTGTTTGGCTTTGCTCTGCAGCTGACACGATGATGTACTCGCGCGATAGTGCGGCGGGGGGTTCCTTCGGACAAGCGTCGGTGTTGGAGGTGTTGGAAGAACTGCACGGAGCCGGTCGACTGCCTCATGGGCCCGGGCCTTTAGAGAAGGCACAGTCGCTCGGGGGCCTAGCATGGCCTCGCCTTGAGGTGACTGGGGCCTTTGGGAGCCTTCGGAGCTGTTGCCCCGGACAAGACGGGAGAGAGCAGAGGAGAGGAGAAGTCCGAATCCATTTTTTGAGGTGTCTGGCCTCCTCTGACCAGAGACAAAGGGAGCGTGCGGCGGGACGCCGAGCTGATCCTGCTGCCGTGCACTGTGGCAAAGCCATTTGTCTGGCTGCCTGCTTGCCCTCTTATCGGGTCTTGGATCAGGTTGTCAGAGCAGCCACAAACGGAGGGCAGAGCGCTTAGTGTGAAAAACCTGCGGCTCGCCATGCCTGTGTAGTCGAGTTCTCAAAATCAGCTGATGGATCAGCTGATGCGGATTCCGCGCAGGGAGCCGTGTACGGGCATGATTCGCGAGACGATGGGGCTCCTTGGCCGCAGTGTTGGGAGTCATGGAGGGGGGGTAAGATAAGATGCCAAGACATGCTTGTGCGCGGGCGGCTGCGCAGGTGCTCGGAAGTGGGAGATGCCGTGGCTGACTGTGAGCGGACCTCGCGGGTGATTCCTGAAATCGGGGTTTCAACTCAAACGGGTCGAGGATGTGGAGTTGCGCTGACGGACGCTGTAACTAAACCGGTGGATCAAGTCTCAAGGGTCGCGGTTAGTGGCAGATTCCTGCCAGGCTCTCGGCTTACGGCGAATGGTCGGTTTGCACCACATCTTGCGGAAGTGGACTTCGCACCAGGCAGCGTTTCGGACACGGGAATCTGTAGCCCCACCTCGGCCTATCTGGCAGGTCCCGGAGCATCGAGGTCCAGGCAAGTGGAGGTGGCCAGCCGGAAGCTGAGCAGCGACAAGCGAGACGCAGCGAGACAGTGAGACAGTGGGAGAGAGTTCCCATGGAATGTGAAGTCCAGAAGAGAGTAGCGGAGTAGCGTCGTGTCTCCGAGGCCCTGCCAGGGCCCGCTGGCACTGCTGGAGCCATGCAACCTGGGCCCCTGCCCTTGTCGAAACCTCGGCAGAATCGTCCGTCTGGCTGTGAATTCAGAGCCTCGGTTTCTTCAGGCCAAGTGACGGATGCCGCTTTTTCTCAATGGAACCAGCCTCAGCTTTGCCAGCTGAGCATCAGGTGGAATCTATGAAAGAGTTGAGACGGTTTCTGTGACTGCTCCCCACCATCACGTCTCAGGGAAGAGTGGAGCAGTTGCAATGCCGGCATGCACATCAGGAAGCGGAAGGCTGGACAATGCCGGAAAGTGAAGCATTGCAGGGTCAAGGTAACTCCGGGATTGATCATTGAATTTGTCGAAGTCTTTCATTTCAGAAATTCATGCTTAATTTATGAAGTGCTCAATGTATCAGGGAGGGTCTCGCTCGCAAGCTTGAACCACCAAGGGCTGCTTAATTCAAGACCCAAGGTGCAACAGCAAGCTTCCTGTGGTGGAGATCCTGCTCTAGGCGCAGCTGCATCTTCCGGCATGCATAGGGGTCGGAGATCCCGATGTGGCTTTGCTGTGGCGACAGACCAGCCAGAGTAGCTTACACAGCTGCAGCAGTGATCTTGACAGGTTCGTTGGCTGAGATCCGAAACTGCGGTGGAACGATTGATTGCGAGGTGGGCTTAACTGAGAATTTGGTGGCTCCAATGCCAACTCTCTATGTCGAGGTGTCTCCCTGGGCTTCCTGGGACGAGTGTGACAAGAGCCCCGGAGCTCGGGAGAGAAGGAGACGTCATGAGAGAAGTCTTTCCGTGCACCTACACTCCTGCAGCGGGTGATCAGTTTCCAGGATATGGTGCAACTCCAGCCGAGTCCTTTTTTTGAGCGTATTTAGTTTTATCGGTTGGTCTCTATCTGTCGTGTATCGCCAAGCATTGCTTGTTTTTGATAGTGTTGCTACTTGCTCTTGCGGGATGGTGTCGTCGAGACGAAAGCTTATCGTCGCAGTTCTAGCTGGTTAATGCAACGCGATGCAGGGTTCACAGCTGCTGGGTTGAGGGTGTGAGGATAATTAGTGGAGCAGCCTGCTGAATGTCAGTCGCCACTGGATTTTTCAAACTGGATTTCATATCAGCGTAATGGAATGGTCTTATTCGCCATGGATTCTGGTCTGCTAGTCGTCCTCTTAGCGTATAGAATCAGTGTAGAACATTATTCTTCCTCTCTTGTGGCCCAGGTTGTGGAGGTGGCCAGCAGGAGCGGAACCGCCAGGTGACCCAGAACCCTCAAAACGGTGGAAAGCCGCTGGGCGCTCAGCGCAGCAGAGCCCTCCATGATAGCACGAGTACAGGCAGCAGAAATGAGTATTAAATTAAATGTTCTTGCTGCTGATACTTCAAACACGTACGCAAGGACCAGGCTGGTTATTCCTCTGAATGCCAACAGCAGCATGCAGAGGAATACTAGCGACTAAGCCTGGATGCAATCGCAGAGAGAGGAAGGGAGAGGGGTGAGAGAGAGAGAGTCAGAGAGAGAGGGCGCCCATATGCAAGACGCTGAAATCAACCAGCTCGGCCTCCCACCACACATCATGGCAGCCATCAGAGGGGCTCGCGCCATTACGCAAATGACGGTGGACGACCCTTGGCAACCGCAAGCACACTACGCTGCCGAGCTCCAAGCCATTGCCAGGGGGGACAGCCCCCCGCTCCCACCACCCGGCGACGGCCACCTCCACCAAACACCGGCAGGGGGCAGCCAGGCAGCACCAGGGGGGGAAACGACGGGGCGGCCGGTCAAGCAACAGACAGCTCTCCACCTCTACAGACACGACAGACGACGGCAGCGGCCCAGAGCAGCCAGGCAGCGGACGGGGGATCGTCACCAGCAATGCCCAGCCAGGGGGGGCTACTCCTTCTACTCAGCCACAGCTCGCACAAGATTCTTTGTACCAGCAGAAGGGGGAACAGCCGACGACGGAGCCCCGACAGTCAAACCGAAAGCACGACCACCAGCACCACCGAGCTCGAGTTCCGAGAGCAGCTGGCCGAGCGAAGACGATGCCCCCCCGGAGGACGATCCCAGCTCCTTAGTGCAAAGGCCCACGCAACACACGCGGGGGAGGACGCGACCGGCGAACAACAACCCCAGCCCAACCACATCTACCACCAGCCACTGGGCAGGGGAGGGAGATGCAGCAGGGGGGCAGCCACAAGACCCGGGAGCCACGCACACTGAAGAGGAGGAGGGGGTGCACGCCCATGCAAGATGCCACAGCGAAGGGGAGGCGAGCAGCAGCAGCGCACTGAGGAGGCAGAGGAGCCGCAGCCCAGCCCACACGGGGGACAATCACCACGAAGGGGGTCCACCGGCTCGAGGGCCCTGCCACGGCCCACAACCCACTTCGTGCAGCCCGGGGGCATGCTGCCCCGATAGCACACAAGGACAGAAGCCTCCCGGCAGTCGCAGGCCACAGCGGCACCAGAACAAACCCAGCCACCACAGCAGCAGGCCAGACAAGGGTCCTCATGCATGGAGTGGGGGAGAGAAAGGGGGCCACCAACATTGAAGTGGAGCTCCAAGAATTCCAGAGCGACTTTGACGTCACTGTCCGCATGACAGACCCGACGCTGTACCTGAGGAGGAATCAAGCACTCGGGAAGGCGCGGGGGATCCTGAAGGGGATTCTTCTCAATTATGGAGAAGACCATGGAACGCTCTGGGATGAACTCGATCGCGCCCACACCCACCTCACCACAGTCCAGGAGAACCACCATGCACTACTGGGGGACATCCGGGGGGAGTTACGTGACCTTGTAGGTGTTGTTGAGAGGCCGGGGGGCACCAGTTCAGCGAAACACACAGTCTCCTGCACAGGCAAGCCCCTTGAAAATGATGGATGTGGCAGCGCGAATTCGCGCGGGTCACGAGGACTGCTCGTGACCCAAGCCCGAAGCAAAGCAAGGCAAAGAGAGAGAGAGAGAGAAAGGCGTTCGACTCCGTCTGGCAGGAATCCATGGGCCACCTGGTGGCCTCCAGAGTCGGCAAACTCCTTGCCACCGGGGACATAGCCATGGGGGGTTCCCCCTGGGAGGCACGCGCATGGCTTGGCCTCCTTGAAGCCCGGGAACTACGGATCGCCATCGGCGACACCATCACCAGCATCCCGCAAAGCAACGGGGTGCGCCAAGGATCCCCTGATAGTCCCGTGCTATTTGCTGCCATCATTGCCACGGCGTTGGACGAGGTTCTTACACGCACGGCCAGACACCTGCCGCCAGTGGGGGGACCCAACCCCCCCCAATCTGGGGGGGCGTTTATGGATGACACCTATCTCTGGAGTCATGACCATGACCACTTGCAGCGCACCCTCACCGAGCTCGAAGTCAGGCTGGCCAAGGACGGCCTCTCCATCCACCCCGGCAAAACCGCCATCCTCTACAGTGAACCCGAAGGGGGGGGCACCTTCCGGATAGGGGGGCAAGAGGTCGCATGCCAACCCTTTGGCACAGTTATCACAGCCCTCGGATCACCACTCACCTTCGTCGAACCAGTGGCAGCCATCACGGCGGCCATGAATGAGCGAGCCCGCAAGGCCTTCCACAAGCATAGCAAGCTCCTCTGCGCGCCGACACCACTCAAAGGCCGCATCAAGCTGCATACAACCCACCGAAGGAGGGGCAACCATGCTCAGCTGGAAAAACCTGCAGTGGTGGAGGCGAGAACAAAGGATTCCGCCCAGCTGGGGGGGCCAGCGACACAAGCACAGGTTCAACCCGGACTCGGACCCGGAACGGCAAATCGTGGCCGTAGGGGGTCTAGCCTGGATGCAAACAGCACAGGACAGGGCAGCATGGAACGGGCTTCTGCACGACTTTGTGGAGCGCTACGATGTGCCCTGGGCCTCGGGCAAGCAAGGAAGTCTCAACAACATCGCACCCAACAGGGGGCAGGCAGAGCGACCCCCCCAGCAAATGAAGCCTCAGCTGACAGCATAGGGGGAGCAGCGCACAGCCATGCCCCCACGACGGGGGCACTCCACACTCCACAACGCCACGCCACCAATGACACCACCGAGGAGCAAAAAACAGACAGAAGAGAGAGAGCATAGAGTTTCACGTTTCACATGCAGTTTTCTCAGTTGACGACATGGCAGGGCACACCAGCCACAGTGCATGCAGTGATGTGCACAGCTTGAACCACAGGAAGGGACCGTGATGGAGTGAAACGACCCATCCGGCAGCCGCCGCATGCTTACAGCAGTTAGCCGGCCAGCACCTGGCAGCCGCGTTGCCGCCATGAACCCAATTCGTTACATGACAGCCTTGACCTACGGCCTGATGCTGTGGGGGGCAGTTTTGGCCTCCGAAAAGGCTCCGGCGCAGGGGAGCGGGCGCAGCGTGCGTCTGGGACAGCCGCCGGCCCCGCACACTGCGGAAGCAGCCGTGGGACCCGACGAGCCCATGCCGCTCGAGGACGACGACAGCCCAGACGACGGACCAGCACAGCCCGAGCAACACCTGGAAGCTACAGCGGAAGAGGGGGCACCCATCCAGGGATCGGGGGGAAGCGGATCACCGCAACAGCAACCGCCGCAACAGCCACCGCAGGCACAACCGGTTCAGCGAGCCACACCTACAGCAGCAGCGTGGACCACAGGCCAACCGTGGCATGCAGCCCAACAGGGCGAACACCACCCGGCCCACCACCAGCCAATTGGGGGACCCACGCACACGGCTCCGCTTCCCCCTCAAGCAGCTGCAGCCACAGCAGCCACCGCTTACTACACACCGGCCCAACGAGCAGCCAGAGCCCACGGGTATTACCCGGCCCCCTATGACCCCGACACAGACCCATGGAACACTGACACACCGGAGCATCCGACGACGGGGGGGGCAAGCTCCAGCTCCACGGCGGCCCCACCCCAAGTACCACAGCAGCAGCAGCAGTGCCCACCACTACCACCACCAACAAGCACACAACAGATGGCCGACCAACTCCTGGCACTGCACCTCCACTACCAAAGCATTCTACAGGCAGCAGGCATATCATACCAAAGCCTACCGGGGTATGCCCTCTCCCCACGAACTCTTGCAGCCATGGGCGCAGCCATGGGATACCCAGCCACTGGATACCTACCAGGAGCATACTGGCCAGGCAACACCAACCAATACGGCTACACACTGCACCAAGGCGGCCACCCGAACCAGCAACCCGCCGGCCCAACCACCAGCACTCCAATACAGCCACAGGGACAGCAGCCGGACCCCTCAGGCCGAGGGGAGCCCGGCACACCAAGGACATCAACAACCCAGCACGGACCTGCCCGTCCCACCAGAGCACCACAGCTGCAGCCCGATGGGGAGAACCTCCAAGCCCGGAACCATCCACATCAGCCGACAGTAGCCCCACAGCCTCCCACAGTGAACCGGGCAGCTGGTCGAGCAAGGCCTCACCAGAGGTCAGTGACGAGGGCGAGGAAGACAGAGCCAGCGAGCCCCGCGACCCCAACCAACCATGCGCAGCAGCACAACAAGCGGAGCCGCAGCGTGCAGGCGTGGTGCCACCCTGCATTCCATGCAAACCCCGTTGGCGCCGGAGAGACCTGCAGCCACAGCAGCCGCCACCCCAGCCTGAGCCAACAGCTGCCATGCCACCGCCGTCCGCCACACTCGCCGACAGCACCCCCCAGTCAAGCACTCCAGCCGAGGGGGCAGCAAACACCCGCAGCCAGCCGGAGGAGGAGGAGACAGCAGCAGCGGCGGAAGGCATCAGCCCGCCAGAGGAGCAATGGCAGCCACCGCCAGCAGACCCAGACCCGCCCACAGCAGCAGGGAGAAGCCGTGGTGCCCGACCCGGCGGAGCCACAAGCCAACCCAGCCGAACCCACGGCATGTGCCGCTGACCCGGCCTGGCGCAACACAGCATCACCCACACCACGCACCGACGCGCCGTGGCACTGGCAAGGAGGGGACACCAGCACCGGGGGAGGCCGCAAACACGAGGGGGGGGGGGAGAACATAGAATGCGAGGCAAACGCTACAAAGCTGCAGTGCAAACAATCTTTGAAATAAAGGGCATGCGCAAACCCACTGGCAAAACCTGGCGCCAAGTGGGCTGGTGGGTTAACCTCGCAGAAGAAGACGACGAAGCCGAGTGGGAAGCTGCCATCCATGAAGCCAGAGCCCAGGCTAACAAACAACATGGTGGTGGGGGGAGCAGCGCCCACAACCCGCAGCAGCATGCAGAAGACATGGCACGCTTTGCCCAACTCCTCAACAAACACCTGGAGCCCCGAGGAGGAGGCACAGCAAGCACAGGGGACACGGCCCCCGGGGGCAGCCACACGGGGGCCTCGCCCAGCGCACACCCACCGCAACCGCAGCCGCAGCCCACAACCAGCGGGGGGGCCAACGCGGCGACCTCAGCAAGTGCATCCACACCACCGCAGCAGCAGCCCGAGCCCACAGGGGGCCCAGCAACCCCCCGCGGGAAAGCCAAGCCGCAGCCTCCAGAGGAGCCAAGGCGTCGCAGAGCCGCAAGCTCAAGTGCCGCAGCAGTGGGGGATGCGAAAAGGGTCGAAGGCCACCTCAACATATGGTTGTTGAGCCTCGGGCAAGGACGTACGCCTCGCAACATGCCGCCCGAGCTCCCAGTGGCCCCGGGGACATACCTCCACCTCCGCTACCTTGGGCCCGGTGGAGCCTGGGCCGCAGTGGTCTTCCACCAGCAAGACAGACGGGGGCCCACCTACTTTTCTGGCCAACAGCGGCCCTTTGCGAGAGCCAGGCAACAAGCACGTGACCCCGCCATTGGAGCAAGCCACCTGGGACCTGGCACAGCCTTGGTCCTCTTCCCACTGGGACCACCCAGTGGAGCTCCTTCGCGGTGGCTGCTCTATGTGACGGCGGTCGAGCACACCAGCATGGGATGGTCCGAGATCAATGCCATCCGTATGCTGCCGGGGGAAGCCTACCTACTGTGGCAACGTAAAGGAGACAAAGGCTGGGAGCAAAAGGCAGTCGTCGGCCCAGCAGCACAGCAATACTTTGCAGACTGGAGGAGAGAGTCTGCTGTCGGAAGGGGGGCAGACAGGCTGCCAAGGGGGGGTCCTTCAGATGCGAGCAACTGGGAAGACCTCGGAGCCCGCCTGGTTCCGAGCAGAGGGACCCGAGAGCCACAGAACGATGCTGAAGAAGAGCACCCCGGCGAGGAGGAACCGGAAGGTGACGATGCCGCCCTCATGCAGACCCCCAGCGGGGGAGCCAGCAGCAGCCATGAGGTCCACGTTCCCGAGGGGTGTCTAGCCATAGCTATGGTCCGCCGATGCCTTCGCAGACTGGCAGCTGTCATTGCACGAGGAGGCTCTGCTCTACTACAACAACGTGTCGAGGACCTCCTTGCCGCCCTTGACCCATTGGGATTACGGGGGACGGGAAACCCCCTTTGGGGGAGAAAACGCCAGAGAGACACCACAGAGTTTTCAGAAGTAGCCCGCCTACTACGACACCTTGCAGACAGACTTCCCACGGCACTCAGTGACGTCGACTTAGCAGAAGACATGGCGGTCCGAATAGCCATGCTCAGTCAGGGGGTTCGCCGCCTCGAGGCGGAAATCTATGACCAAGGGGGGCTCCAGGCACTGGAAGCGCGAGAAGGAGCCTACTTGGCCATCAAGGCCATGACGAGCGCACGAGACAAGGTCCTCACGGGCGACAGGGACTGGCTCACGGCCAACTGGCTCTGGACCGTGGCATCCCTGCTCGAAGAAGGGGATGCCCTCTCATGGGAACTACGCCATGTACCGGGGGAAGCCCATAGCAGTGATGTCCTCGCCATGGCGGGGGGCGCTGACGAGACCTACGGGGACATGCCGGACGTGTGGAAGGCTAAACAGTACCTCAAGGAGTTGGGGGGGCTCCTTCCGTTCCTCGCGGACAATGACGCCGAACAAGCCCGCCGGCTTGTGGCAGGGCTGCTAGCATGGGTCCAAAGCCAGGAAGGGACCACGTTGCTGGTGGACAGCCAAGGCAATGCAGAGACACAGGAAAATGAAGAAGCCCCAAGTCTGTTCGATGGCCCGCCCTCTGCAGCCGGGGGACACGTGGTGGTCAACGACGAGGGGGAGCCTACCGAGACCGTGCCCCACGTGCCGAACACGGTGTTGGACGCCAACGACACCACCGAGGGGATAGCAGCCCGCGACCCCACTGCACCCGAACAAGGGGGGCCTGCCGAGAGCACCGTGTCCACCGCGCTGACCGAGATCGAGGGCATCCCTGGTGGCCTTGTGCGGGGGGCAATGACCCACACTGAAGAGGCAAACCTGACCAGTGTGGGGGGCACGCAGCTCGATGCCAACACGTCGGGCCACGCCACCGGGGGGACAGAGTCCAAGTCCCGCTTTCCGGCCTACTGGAACCTCCGGGGGTCCATGGCCGCGCTCGATGTCCCGTCGTCGGCTGAGCGGGACCCAGAGAGTTTTCCAAGCGAACCGGAGCCTCCCAGTGACGTGCTGTCTGCACAAGACATTGCGGATGGCCATGCGTTGCAGGAACAAGTAGAAGCAGAGACGGAAGCTTTCGGGCGAGCCAGCCGCAGACGGTTGCATAGTCCCGAGGGGGCCCGCAGGAGAGCCAACCGGGAGTGGACCGATGACAGTGACTAGGGGGGTTCTGTTGCAGTGTTGCAGTCATGCTGTCTTTTGCTTTCTTTCAGCTCTCTGCCGGGACCTCAGTGTACAGTGTGTTTCGACTCGTAGTGTGGGGGCATCGAAAGAAGGGCCAACACCCACGCCAACCTAAGGGGCCCTGTAAGTGGCCCGGGTCTCAGTAGCTGGGGAAGCACAGTAACTGGCCTGAGGGGTGCAAGATGCTTAGCCCACGAGGCGGGTTGGGGGTTAGTGTACAGGGGGGTTTTACCTGGTCAGCCAGTGCCTATTCCCCTGGAGTTTTTATCTTTTCTCACCGCCCGAAAACCCCGGTGCGCGAAATCGCGCGGGGGGGGAGGGTGTTCGAGCCCGACCCTCCTGGCCGTGTTGAAGAAGAGAGAGAGAGAGAGAGAGAGAGAGAGCACACAGCCACACAACCCAGGCGGGGGAGACAAGCAACAGGACGACGCTGCCATGGGCCATGACAGGGGAGAGGAGCCGAGTTCAAGTGCCGGTGCGGCAACCACTGGAACCAACGTGGACGTGGGGGAAAGGCGCTTGGGACAAGAGGGACCGCGCACTCCCAGCCGCAGCCCGAGACGACGAGGAGATGCCAACCTGGTTCTGGGGGAAAGGCGCTTGGGACAAGAGCGACCGCGCACACCCAGCCGCAGCCCGCGGCGACACGGAGGGGAGCAACGAGTGCACCTCCAGCCGAACATGTGGTGGCAAGTTCGACAAGTACAAGAACATATGCAGAGCAGCCGTTAGAGCAGTGAGCGCCATGATATGTAAAAAGTCCAGTGTGCGAGGGACAGGGAACTGGGGGGAGGGCATGCCTGTGATTGTTGCTCGGTTTGTTGTTCGGTTTGGCTGCCCTGCACCTTGGTTCCCGCGTTTCTCCTTAAACCCTTACTAAGGGGACGTACAGCTTACCAGGCTGCTCGATGAAGCCGCCACCTTTTCGAACCCAGCCGGGGGATTGCACGATAGCACGCCCTTTGTAACATACTTGTCCAGTACAACTTTTGCAGTACTCTGCCATGACTTGGCGATTTCTTTCCGCCCTTCTACAATTCGCTGCACACCGTCACCCGACGAAGTCCGTTCCGCCCTCTTACAAATAATTCGGCATCCACCTTTGCTGTGTGAGAGCATGGGGGGGATCCAATTCATCCGGCTTTTCTGCTCCAAACACAATGCAGCGAAACCCACTTAGAAGGACCTAGGCACTTGATTGGTCAGCCATAGGGGCCCGGAGATGAGGCCGGGATGCGGGGGGTTTTTAGAGTTCTAGGTGGGGATTGCTGCATGAAAACCTGGAGCATATTTCGTAGTTCCCTGCCTTAATCTGGAAAGACCCCTTTACCAGCCACTCCATAAACACAGAGTGTGGCTGGGCGGGCTGAAAGCCTGGGGGGCGCTTGCGCGACCCTCAGAAAAAAAAAAGAGAGAGAGCCTCAAGCCTTGCGAAAGAAAGAGAAGCGAAGCGAAGCGAAGCGAAGCGAAGAGAGAGAGCGTAGGGGGTAACACCCCTACACCATAGCCCTGGCGAAAGAAAGAGAGAGAGAGCGAGAAGCCTGGCGAAAGAAAGAGAGAGAGCGAGAGCAAGAGAGTGTAGGCGGTAAAGCCCCTACGCCACAGCCCTGGCGAAAGAAAGAAAGAAAGCAAGAGAGTGGGGGTAGGCCTTCGGGCCCGGACCCACACCCTTCGCAAGCAAGCAAGCAAGCGAGAGAGTGAGTGCCACGTGAATCGGGAGGAGGCTAAACTGAATTGCACATGTCCACAGTTTCGTGCAAACATTATGATATGGCTGTCATGATGTGCCCAGAGCCTGCCATTGAAGCTGCTACAGTACTAATAGGACCAGGATGCGGGAGGTCAGCTTATGGTGCCGAATGCCCTTTCTGGCTTTCCTTGCTCGAGTGGATTATGGATAGGCGGTTGAAGCCGCCACCTGAACCTGCGATGCTTGCAGCGGCTTGAGTTAACAATCTTTCGTTCTTGCAAAAATGCCCGTCATGCAAATGCGACGGTAGGCAGTTAACATCGGCTTTAATGGACTTCCCGCGCGTTGAGCTTCAGGTGCCTTAAAGACTTGGTGGAGCCCGGGCCCGCAGATCCAAAGGCAGAAGCTTCCGAACTTGAGCCTCAGCCGTCCCGAGGACGCAGGGCTGCAACGAAATTCCTTGCACCAGCCACAGAAGTTGCGACGATTGCGAGCAAATGCGATCAGCTGTGAAGCGCGGAAAGGTCAAACTACAAGCTGCGAAGTTTCAGACTGGTGGTGGCCTTTTTTTTGGACGTTTACTCTTAGGGCTGCACAGAGGGCCAAGTCTGAGCCAGGTGTGCGTTTTGTGCCAGGGGCTTGACATGAGGTCCGCATGGGGCGAGTGCAGCAACAGTTGCGGCAGCGGCGTCCATGCCAAGCTCTTGGTTCCAGTGAGCTCTGACACGCCGCGATTTGCATGTTTTTGGCCGGATCAGCTGCCACGAGTCTTCTGCTGTGTCTCAGGAACGGACCCGAACTTTCACACATTTGGCACAGGACAAAAACCGATGTGTGCAAACTGGTTTCCTCTTCTCCCGCAGATTCCGAGATCCGTCTTAGACATCCTTAACATCAGTTCCACACCACAGCCGCATATGCGGAAAATACCAGGCATCACAGGAGACACAGAGCTTCAGAGAGCTTCACAGCATGTCACGGCCTCATTGTGAGCTCTTCAGGAGGGCGGCTCTGGCCCGGGCCTCGTGTTTTATGGGGCTCGAAGTTAGGGCTCGACGGTGCAGTGCGAGGCGCCTTCTTGTTCGCTGCACCGAAGGCTGCGACATGCCGATGGCAGAAATCAAGCCTTGCAGCGACGAGTTCGGAACCCTCGAGGTGGATTGCATCTTGCGCCCATGAACTCGGTGGTATTTAGGGTGTTTTTGTGTGAATTTGAGGGTTGTGATCCTACATTTACAATCCTCCAGTTTCAGATTGCGAACGACGCAGGCGCGTCGTTTGGAACTGTGTCCTATGTCCGACTGCGGCTGTGCTCGAACCTCAACTTCGTTTGGCTGGGCTCACTGCACTTGATTGGCATCCCTTCTCTGCCGAGGTGTGGCGTGACTGGTCGGAGTGGAGTGCTTGCACGTGCGAGTGTGGTGGAGGTCCACGCTTGCGTGGGGCATGGTCGGGGTGTCAACAGTGGGCTCCCGGCAACTGGCGAGGTCAGAAGACCCGAAATCGGCACATTGCGCGTGCTCCGCAGCCTGGCTGCACGCCTGAACCTCAGAGATGCCCCGCCCAAGCGACCGCCTGGACCGCCGTGATCCAGTCCGCAAGGCCGTGCGAACCGTTTGACAAACAGCAGATCGAGCCATGCAACACCCAGCCAGAGACTGAAGTGTGCGTGCAGTGTTGGACCCGCTGTTAGTGGCAGCGACGAGAGATTTGGCGCCCGCGGCAGGAAATGCGAGGAAGACGAGTGTGTGGATGCCCTGTGGTCCCCGTGGCAGGACTTCGATGAAGCAGTAATTGAGGGTCTTGTTTTCGGAGTTGCTCTTTTGCACGAGGTTTCAGTGGACTGTGACGATGCCTGCTGCTTTCAGGACTGGGAGCCGTGCTCCATCTCCTGCAGAGGCTGGCTGTGAATTGTATGATCGCACTATGATTCGATTTTGAAAACGAGAAAGATGCAGGTCTCCAGTCGAGGTTTCAGAACCTGCATTGGGTTGTTCGCATTGTCACGATCGGTTGCTTGCTGCTTGTGCACAAGAGGCTGCAACCGCCGCTTTAGACACTGAAAATACGCAACCAGAGTGCCAAGCCAAATCGCTTCTCCCCAGAAACATATGACGTCTCCGTTGGAAACCTGCGATGATTCCACTTGCCGAGATGAACACCACATGTAGTAGCGAGGAAAGCAGCGGAAGTGACCGCGAGATGCAGTTCTGGGGTTTGCAGAGGTCAGAGGTGTGACAGGAAAACTCGCTTCAGAATTTCAAGCCTGTGTTTGAAACAGCCACGGGCGGGCCACAGCTTGTAAACATTGTAACTAAGCGCAGTGTCGCCATGTTTATGAGGTGCTATTGACGGCAGGCCTTGCTGCAATTGTGAGGGTCGCCAGATATTTGGCCACGAAAGGTGGGATCACGTGGCGCTCGCGTAAGATCGTCCGAAATGCCAACGAGCCTGTGCCCCAGACTTTGCCGTTCTTGAGAAACAGCCTCAAGAAAAGCTGCAGAGTTCCAGGTCATACAGTTATTATGGTTCATGCAGCAATGACCCTGTGTTCCAAATAAATCTCGCGTATCACTCGCTCTCAGTTGCGGCCGGCCCGTTTCCGGCGCCTCTCAGCAGCATGCCAGCTGCAACGAAGGCCGCAGCCTTCTGGGGCCTTGGCTTTCTGGAATTCAGTAAGCACAGTAGGCTAATCATCTGTGGGTCGACGGAGCAGGTCAGGGTTGAATGAGGACTGGACATCATCAGACCTGGGAAGCTTTGGTCTATTGGTGATCAAGTTACTTTTGTTTACGGCTTGCCGCAGAAACGACAACAGAGGCCGCTTGTGCCATTCTTTCAGCTTACCGTGCGACATGACCCTGTAAACTGGAACTTGAGCAGTGCGACCTAGTCAGCTAAGCGGTAGGGAACGACTGGAATGGCTGGAACTAGAAATCAGCAACTGGGAAGCGGTGGGATCGGTGCTCAGCTGGAATTGGATAGGCGTACTGGGGTAGGTCCTCGAACTTCTTTAAAGAGTGCAAAAGCGGATCCAGTCAGGAATTGGTTGGTGGCAAGGCAGCCAGCAACCACAGAGGATGAACTAGGACGAACTAACTAGCGTCGATAGATGTACTAAGCACCGCGAGAACGAGTGCAGACGGGCATCCGATTCGCGGATGCCAGGTGTGCCTTGCAAGCCCAGTGTGGACTGTCAGTTTGCTGAATGGTTGGCCGGCACCCCAAAGCGCGGTGAGATGTAAGACATTCTTTTTGTTTCGCGAACTTTGGCCACAGCCCAAGGCTTGGAGTGCCTGCACGCAGGAGTGCGATGGTGTTAAGCGAAGGCGCTCTTTCTGCCTTGGAATTTTTCGCCCCGAGCCACGTCGACAGTCGAGACCAGGTCTCGCCAGATCGCTGTACAAGGAGCAGGACAGGCGTCAGAGCACGATGACCTTTCAGCGCAAGTGCCAACACAAAATTCAATCTCGGGGAGAAGCAGCTCCAAATAAGAATGAAGTTGCTGACTAGTTTGGGGGGCAAGGTGTGACTCGCATGAGTCACGGCCCAGGAGATGGAGCATACTGCCTGGGCCCGACGCACCAGTGGCTGACTCAGATTTATGGGATGCAGATCTTGCGAACTACGCGACGCGGACGGACTCCTTGCCGATGCCTCATCCAGGACTTATCCCTGCTCCACAGACAAGGGGCTTCTGGAGTTCAATAGCCCGGCTCTGCGACCTTGCCGAAGAAGTCGGAGTTGTTGGACAGGTTTGTTAAATCCAGCTCCAGGTACCTGCATTTGGACAACCTTGAGTCCAAGAACGTCCAGCCGGGCCAGGCGACTTTGACTCGTTGAACCTTGGGGGGTTGGCTTTTTGGCACGTTGCACTTCACAGGCAGAGCTGAAATTCACGGGCGTCACCAAAATGCCAGGCACTGGAGCATCCAGGGCAGTGGGTCGGCGTTCAGTCTCCACTCTCTTGCAGGAGACGGCGGAGACTATGTGAATCTGGTAGTCACAGCGCTTAGCCGATCCGAGCAGTTGAGCTGCGGCCTCGCATGACGTCGTGTTGTGACGAAGGCTTTCGGCGCGACCGCACCTCGTTTTCGTCTGGCTCAGGTGATGAATCGACGGGCTTGTATGGGCATTCTGGCCGCATTGGTTTTGAAGCCGGCTGGCACCTCAGCATGCTTCCCCGAGCTGCTGCAGCCGCAATGAGCAAGCAAATGACCCAGGTTGTCCATGAGGAAATGTAAAATGCAAGCATGCCTTTCAGACAGACAGACAAGGCAGACGTACAGATATACGGGCCAGGCATACGAGCATAGAAATCCACCGACCGAACGACCGACCCACCGACCCACCGACCCACCGACCCACCGACCCACCGACCCACCGACCCACCGACCCACCGACCCACCGACCCACCGACCCACCGACCCGCCGACCCGCCGACCCGCCGACCCGCCGACCCGCCGACCCGCCGACCCGCCGACCCGCCGACCCGCCGACCCGCCGACCCACTGACCCACCGACAGACAGGCAGACAGACAGACAGACCGAGATAGACAGAGCCAGGCATTGACAGACAGAGAAACGGCCCTTTTGTACTTTGGAGTTATGATGCTTTGACAGCCTTAGATACGAAAGCATGGATGGCCCGAGTGACAAGTTTAGGAGGGGTGTTTGTTCGGGGGGGTTCGTACTGGAGCTCGGAGGAACACTTCTTTCCACCCCAAACAGGGGCCGAGCTGACAGACCGCCGCGAGCGAAGGAAAGCAGGCCTTCCGGCCAAGGCAAGCAACCAAGACAGACAAAAGACAGAGAAAGTAGTCGGAGACCGCAGCCAGCCTTCTTATGACCCGAAGCTTGGCAGGGACTCTCTCTGAGGCTTCTTGTGTCGTTAACTGCAAACTGGTGATGAATGTCAATGTCTCACCTGTTTACTCCACAATGCTCTGCAGCAGAAGCCGGGAACGTGCAAGCCTTTGCCGCTGTAGTTTGATCGGGAAGTTTTGCGTCTGTGAGTTGGCTGTTGAGTCACAACCTCCATCGAACTCTTGCAGTAGCCAAGACCCGCAGCCGCTTTTTCTTGCAACAGCACCGGGGAAAAGATCGCGACCCCTACGCCTGGCATCCATAGTATCTCTTTGCCCGTGCATTTAGCATCCATATCTTTTTCACAGCTTGAACTTTCTGTTGAGAAGTCCGCTGCATGTATAAAATTCCCCTAGAGAGCCCTTCAAACGCCGGTGAGCTTGTCGGCTCGTGGAGCTTGGTTGGCTTGCTAGCGCCAGTTGCAAGCCAGCAGGCAGACGAAGAGACAGACAGAGAGACAGACAGTGACACAGACAGTGAAAGAGACCGAGACACAGACAGACAGACAGACAGACAGACAGACGGACGGACAGACAGACAGACAGACAGACAGACAAACGGACATACGGACAGACGGATGGACGGACAATGACGGACAGACAGACAGAACACGCATGGCGCAGATGTGCATTTCTGCAGAAAGAAACGCAGTGGCATGAAGCACGAACCCGCAATAGCAAACATACTAATTAGTGTGTACAGAGGGAAAAATTAGTGTGTTCAGGGTGCTGGTCTGTCAGCGATGATGTTGCTGAAATGGAGTCGTTATCACAATCGATGCGGATGCAACCCGATTACAATGTGGCTGGCTGAAGACCTGCCGTTTCTGAAGGCTCCGAAATTGAGGTGACGTTCATCTTGATGAGGCACGCCCCTCACTGTCCACAGTACTCGTAGTGTGTTGCCTGCAAGTTCAGCGTGGTTCCAGGCAGCAAGACCAGCGAGAGGTCCAAGCCAAGATGCTGATGATCAAGCTAGCTTCTCAGCACTATCGCTTTCCTACGGCATTCATGTGCACAGAGGCCGTCAGGAGTGAGGGATAGTGAGGGGTAATCCGTTTGTGCTGTCGTGAGGGCTGCTGCTGTGTGTCGTCCTTGTGTGATGTGCGTGCTCGTTTGCGCCTGAGATTCTTTGACGTCGCAGATGGTGCCGTATTGGAGGCAAGTGATACTAGTAAGTTCTTCGATTGCCACGACTTGATGGCCGTTGAAGACGATCGGCATTTTCTGGCATTAGGAAAGGATTGTTTAAAAGTGGCTGCAAGGCTCCGGAAGGCAACGAAGCCTTCTTGAGCTACGAATCTGTGTGGTGGTCTCAAGCTTCAGCTTGCAAATTGTCCAGCCACCCTCGCCCCAACTGCCTGATCTCCTGTGCCCATAAACCGAGGCTGTCATCGGACACAACGGGGGATGGCACGCTGGTGGTCACATCCCAGATGCCTGGAGTGAAGCCACCAAAGGAGGGGAAGGGTGCCACTGGGGCTGCTGTGTGGTCCGGCTGCCGGGGTTTGCTGGAGGACCCAATGAGTGCAAGCCCTCAACAAGAGATGCATGCAGCTGCCATTATGTGGAAGGCCGCATGAATGGGCCTAAAATAGGTCTCAGTCAAAGTTTTCCCCGCCTAGAAGAACGCTCAAGAGCTTTTGTGCTTTCCAGGGCACCAGCCGTGCCAGTGTCAAATTCAAGACACCACCTGGCTTCAGCGATGCACTTGGGAAAGTGGTCAACCTCGTGAACGTTTTGTTTTATACTGAATTCAGCAACCCGAGGCAATAGTCTCGTCTTTGCAGCCAAAGCTTGCTGGAGGGGCGACTGCCTGCCACCGAGCAACACTGTTTCTGCTATGTTTCGGAATCATCGTTAGTCGCACTGGGTCTCCATTTTCTTACGTGCTTTCCTGGTTCATCCTGGTTCCATTTCTGAGGCTTGGTTAGCGCATGCGGACGTGGAGAGGATGCGGTCGATTGCGCCAGGAAGCTGGTGGTGCAACTATTGAGCCGAAGCTTTTCGCCATTTGGGCATCGCCCTAAGGTCATGGAACCCTGGGAGTCGTGGGCACCTTGCTCCGTCAGTTGTGGCCGCGGGCAGCGAGCCGGGTCCAGAGCAGGGGCTTAGCCGCTTAGGCGTCAGCGATGTCAGCACCAGCGGCTTGGCATGATATATTTGCTGCAGCGTAGCTGGACTCTGTGTGAGGTGCGGACGCGGAAAGTGAGGACCATGAATTCGCACGGCGGCCGCCCATGTTGCCACCTAAGTTTTGCGGTGTGTATATAGCTCCACGTGTGCGCAGGAATAGCGAGCTGTCACTGCAAGGAATTGTGATTGATTCCTGCATGCCTGCGGTTTTGAAGGTCACGTTGACTTGTCTGCCACGCGCTTGGCGCACGTGGTTGGAGAAGTAGGCTGAAAGTCGCTGTTACCCGGCCGCCATTGACCCACTAAGACACTCGAGGCAACAGAAGGCTGCGAGATGAACTCCTGCGCGGAGGCTGTCTCTTCACTGGAGAGGATTGCTGGACTGGGTCAGAGACCGGGGCCAGACTCTTTGGATTGGAGAGTTGGGATATGTTTTGCGATATGGCACTGTTTCAGGTTTTGCGCATTCACCTGCGCAGAGCACAGCCCACCTGAGCGAAAGTGTTTGCTGGAGGGAGCCGCTTCAAGTTGTGCCCACGCAAGCACAGAAGTGGTAAGCGGAGAATACTTGAGCTATGCCGGGACATGCGCACACAGACACAGATGTTAGACAGTCAATTTTGTGGACAAAATATGGTCTGTTTGGCGACCTGTCCGGCGCATCTGTCCATGCAAGCAGCTTATATCTCACTGTGCGGAAGTCTCGCAGTTTCTCTCCATGCTGCCACACTGCAAGCAGCCATGCAGCATGCCCATCCGTCTGTGAAAGATAACTCAAAGTGTAGCATCCCGATAGGCGCAGCCTGTGTTCAGGCATGCGAGCCGCAAGACTGCAGATGGTCGGAGTGGTCTGTGGGGAGCTCAAACACCGAATTCAGCCCTGTGCGCCACTCCTGCTTGAGATCTCAGCCAGGATTGGGGCGCTTGCGACAAATGTGGAGGGCAGATGAAGCGATTCCGGAATGTCATAAGACCGCGGGGCTCCCAAGGATTTGGCATCCGTGCTCAGTAATAGCCAGGGGCCGATCAGAAAGTGTGAGACTAAAGCATGGAGTGTCCTGGGACGTTGGCTCCGGGAGTGTGGGGCTGCAGCATCGAAGGCCTCCGGACGTTGGCTCCCGCAGTCTGAGACTACAGCATCGAACGTTCCGGGCCGTTGGCTCCCGCAGTCCTGGGCTCTGCAGCATTTTGCTGTGCTAGGAAGGTTTGTAGCTCCGTGAACCCTTCTTTGGCTGATGTCGCACAACTCGATGTTCTGGGACACGTCCCCACAGCCGTCTCCGACACAACTGGAAGCTGCGGCTGCGTCCAGTCCATTGAGCCCTCTGGCGGCCACGGTAGTGGACTCCGAGACTCCAGGAAGCCTTCCAGCGAGGACTCCATGCTCGCCGAAGGCTATGTCTCCAGCCATTTCAGAAGCTTCGACGATACCTGGCTTACCGAGTCGACTGCCGATGCAAGAGTCAAAGCGGAGGTGGATGTCTTCGCCGCCTGAGGAGATGATCGATCCAGAGTCGGGACATCCTGGAAGGATGAGTACTCAGTTCACTCAGGCAGAGCCGGAGTTCAGTAATTTATCGAGAAAGCCGGCAGCTCCAGCTTTGGAGTTTAGCCCAGCTCCGGACAGTGCGGAAGTGCGGCGAATGCTCCAGACAAGGTTGGGACCAGACCTGGCCTCTGGGACTGCTATGGCGTCTAGTGAGTCTAGTGATCCTTACCAGCTGGTTCCGACGGAAGAAGAGGAGCAAGCAGACGCAAGGATCCCGGTGGAGGAGCACGAGAAGCAGACAGGATTTTCTTCGAGTCTCTTATCGCAGAGAGTTCGAGCCGGCCTCTGGCTGATTTACAGTCTCTGCTTCGTAGGGATGGACATCAGCGAAGACCGAGTCAAGCAAGGCACGGTGACTGGGGAGGGCTTAGCTAGAATCGTCCTGTACTGCACGCAAGGCATGAAAGGTGACTTCGACAAGCGGGAGCGTGAAGTTGGCATAAGTCGCCAAAAACTGTCAGACTTCCTGTCTGTGCAAGATCCACCGAAGGCTTTTGTGGAAGACTGCGGCGGGATGAGATGCAGATTGCACCAGAAGCTAGGCGTCACTGGGACATCCGCATTGCCGGAGCGGGCAAGAGGACTTCCGTTCACAACGGGAGGCTGAAGAGACCGGCTGCAGCACTGAAGAGGCCCTCCTCGTCCAGTTCAGCGCCGCCCAGCGTCAGTCTGAGACTACAGCATCGAACGTTCCGGGACGTTGGCTCCCGCAGTCCTGGGCTCTGCAGCATTTTGCTGTGCTAGGAAGGTTTGTAGCTCCGTGAACCCTTCTTTGGCTGATGTCGCACAACTCGATGCAGCCGTCTCCGACACAACTGGAAGCTGCGGCTGCGCCCAGTCCATTGAGCCCTCTGGCGGCCACGGTAGTGGACTCCGAGACTCCAGGAAGCCTTCCAGCGAGGACTCCATGCTCGCCGAAGGCTATGTCTCCAGCCATTTCAGAAGCTTCGACGATACCTGGCTTACCGAGTCGACTGCCGAGGCAAGAGTCAAAGCGGAGGCGGATGTCTTCGCCGCCTGAGGAGATGATCGATCCAGAGTCGGGACATCCTGGAAGGATGAGTACTCAGTTCACTCAGGCAGAGCCGGAGTTCAGTACTTCACCGAGAAAGCCGGCAGCTCCAGCTTTGGAGTTTAGCCCAGCTGCGACGAATGCTCCAGACAAGGTTGGGACCAGACCTGGCCTCTGGGACTGCTATGGCGTCTAGTGAGTCTAGTGATCCTTACCAGCTGGTTCCGACGGAAGAAGAGGAGCAAGCAGACGCAAGGATCCCGGTGGAGGAGCACGAGAAGCAGACAGGATTTTCTTTGAGTCTCTTATCGCAGAGAGTTCGAGCCGGCCTCTGGCTGATTTACAGTCTCTGCTTCGTAGGGATGGACATCAGCGAAGACCGAGTCAAGCAAGGCACGGTGACTGGAGAGGGCTTAGCTAGAATCGTCCTGTACTGCACGCAAGGCATGAAAGGTGACTTCGGCAAGCGGGAGCTTGAAGTTGGCATAAGTCGCCAAAAACTGTCAGACTTCCTGTCTGTGCAAGATCCACCGAAGGCTTTTGAGGAAGACTGCGGCGGGATGAGATGCAGATTGCGCCAGAAGCTAGGCGTCACTGGGACATCAGCATTGCCGGAGCGGGCAAGAGGACTTCCGTTCACAACGGGAGGCTGAAGAGACCGGCTGCAGCACTGAAGAGGCCCTCCTCGTCCAGTTCAGCGCCGCCCAGCGTCAGTCTGAGACTACAGCATCGAACGTTCCGGGACGTTGGCTCCCGCAGTCCTGGGCTCTGCAGCATTTTGCTATGCTAGGAAGGTTTGTAGCTCCGTGAACCCTTCTTTGGCTGATGTCGCACAACTCCATGTTCTGGGACACGTCCCCACAGCCGTCTCCGACACAACTGGAAGCTGCGGCTGCGTCCAGTCCATTGAGCCCTCTGGCGGCCACGGTAATGTAGTGGACTCCGAGACTCCAGGAAGCCTTCCAGCGAGGACTCCATGCTCGCCGAAGGCTATGTCTCCAGCCATTTCAGAAGCTCCGACGATACCTGGCTTACCGAGTCGACTGCCGAGGCAAGAGTCAAAGCGGAGGCGGATGTCTTCGCCGCCTGAGGAGATGATCGATCCAGAGTCGGGACATCCTGGAAGGATGAGTACTCAGTTCACTCAGGCAGAGCCGGAGTTCAGTACTCCACCGAGAAAGCCGGCAGCTCCAGCTTTGGAGTTTAGCTCAGCTTCGGACAGTGCGGAAGTGCGACGAATGCTCCAGACAAGGTTGGGACCAGACCTGGCCTTTGGGACTGCTATGGTGTCTAGTGAGTCTAGTGATCCTTACCAGCTGGTTCCGACGGAAGAAGAGGAGCAAGCAGACGCAAGGATCCCGGTGGAGGAGCACGAGAAGCAAACAGGATTTTCTTTGAGTCTCTTATCGCAGAGAGTTCGAGCCGGCCTCTGGCTGATTTACAGTCTCTGCTTCGTAGGGATGGACATCAGCGAAGACCGAGTCAAGCAAGGCACGGTGACTGGAGAGGGCTTAGCTAGAATCGTCCTGTACTGCACGCAAGGCATGAAACGACAAGCGGGAGCGTGAATTTGGCACAAGTCGCCAAAAACTGTCAGACTTCCTGTCTGTGCAAGATCCACCGAAGGCTTTTGTGGAAGACTGCGGCGGGATGATGCAGATTGCACCAGAAGCTAGGCGTCACTGGGACATCAGCATTGCCGGAGCGGGCAAGAAGACTTCCGTTCACAACGGGAGGCTGAAGAGACCGGCTGCAGCACTGAAGAGGCCCTCCTCGTCCAGTTCAGCGCCGCCCAGCGTCAGTCTGAGACTACAGCATCGAACGTTCCGGGACGTTGGCTCCCGCAGTCCTGGGCTCTGCAGCATTTTGCTGTGCTAGGAAGGTTTGTAGCTCCGTGAACCCTTCTTTGGCTGATGTCGCACAACTCGATGGTCTGGGACACGTCCCCACAGCCGTCTCCGACACAACTGGAAGCCGCGGCTGCGTCCAGTCCATTGAGCCCTCTGGCGGCCACGGTAGTGGACTCCGAGACTCCACGAAGCCTTCCAGCGAGGACTCCATGTCCAGCCATTTCAGAAGCTTCGACGATACCTGGCTTACCGAGTCGACTGCCGAGGCAAGAGTCAAAGCGGAGGCGGATGTCTTCGCCGCCTGAGGAGATGATCGATCCAGAGTCGGGACATCCTGGAAGGATGAGTACTCAATTCACTCAGGCAGAGCCGGAGTTCAGTACTCCACCGAGAAAGCCGGCAGCTCCAGCTTTGGAGTTTAGCCCAGTGCGGAAGTGCGACGAATGCTCCAGACAAGGTTGGGACCAGACCTGGCCTCTGGGACTGCTATGGCGTCCAGTGAGTCTAGTGATCCTTACCAGCTGGTTCCGACGGAAGAAGAGGAGCAAGCAGACGCAAGGATCCCGGTGGAGGAGCACGAGAAGCAGACAGGATTTTCTTTGAGTCTCTTATCGCAGAGAGTTCGAGCCGGCCTCTGGCTGATTTACAGTCTCTGCTTCGTAGGGATGGACATCAGCGAAGACCGAGTCAAGCAAGGCACGGTGACTGGAGAGGGCTTAGCTAGAATCGTCCTGTACTGCACGCAAGGCATGAAAGGTGACTTCGACAAGCGGGAGCGTGAAGTTGGCATAAGTCGCCAAAAACGGTCAGACTTCCTGTCTGTGCAAGATCCACCGAAGGCTTTTGTGGAAGACTGCGGCGGGATGATGCAGATTGCACCAGAAGCTATAGGCGTCACTGGGACATCAGCATTGCCGGAGCGGGCAAGAGGACTTCCGTTCACAAGGGGAGGCTGAAGAGACCGGCTGCAGCACTGAAGAGGCCCTCCTCGTCCAGTTCAGCGCCGCCCAGCGTCAGTCTGAGACTACAGCATCGAACGTTCCGGGACGTTGGCTCCCGCAGTCCTGGGCTCTGCAGCATTTTGCTGTGCTAGGAAGGTTTGTAGCTCCGTGAACCCTTCTTTGGCTGATGTCGCACAACTCGATGTTCTGGGACACGTCCCCGCAGCCGTCTCCGAGTCTCCGACACAACTGGAAGCTGCGGCTGCGTCCAGTCCATTGAGCCCTCTGGCGGCCACGGTAGTGGACTCCGAGACTCCACGAAGCCTTCCAGCGAGGACTCCATGCTCGCCGAAGGCTATGTCTCCAGCCATTCCTGGCTTACCGAGTCGACTGCCGAGGCAAGAGTCAAAGCGGAGGCGGATGTCTTCGCCGCCTGAGGAGATGATCGATCCAGAGTCGGGACATCCTGGAAGGATGAGTACCCAGTTCACTCAGGCAGAGCCGGAGTTCAGTACTCCACCGAGAAAGCCGGCAGCTCCAGCTTTGGAGTTTAGCCCAGCTCCGGACAGTGCGGAAGTGCGACGAATGCTCCAGACAAGGTTGGGACCAGACCTGGCCTCTGG